TAACCACTCATGGTCCTCTAACTTTTAAATTTTAACCAACTACAGTCCTTTCAAGAGAACCACGAGTGGTTAAATTTCGAAAGTTGAAGGACCATGGGTGTTTAACTTGGACCACGAATTATTAAATTGGAAAGTCGAAGGACCACAAATGGTCAATTTGAAAGTTTAAGACTAAACGTGGCAAAACCACTATACTCGGAGGACCCCATGTGGCATTACCTCAAACTTTTTCCAATGGAAAATATTTTCCATCCAACCAGACAACATAAAATATCATTTTCCTTCACTTTTAGGAAAACATTTTTCATCCAACCAAACACCCCCTTAGGCTTTGTTTGACACAACTAACTAAAAAGTTAGCTGAAAATTGAAAGCTGAAATCTAGTAGTTTATAGACTAAATGACTGAAATTAAGGTGTTTGATAAAATTAGAGGTTGAATAAAATGATACGGGTAAAAAGAAATAAAATGACATTTTTGTAAATTTATAAATTCTAATTTAAATATTAATATATATTACAATTCAAAGTCTAAATATATATAATTGTATGTCGATCAAAATATTTTTATAATATTATAATAAATTTTTTTTGTGCAACGCACGAGTGAAAATACTAGTAGATAAACAAAAAGATTATAGCTAAGTTATATGGATATTAAAAATTAGGTTTTTTGTCTTTGAAAAAATATCTCGTTTCACAAATTGATGGAAACTTCATAAATGTTTCAAAACAATTTATCTAATTTTAGAAACTTTTAAAATACCTATTTTCTAGTAAGAATATGATAAATAATTAATATTTATGCATAAATGAAGAGAAATATTTGTAAATACACATTTATATTTTTATATTTATACTTTTTCACATGTTCTGTATCCAAGGATTCTCGCCCTCATTTTTTCGTTTTCATGCAACCTAGACAGAAACTCCTCAACCAGTTGGCATTTTCAATCACTTTTCTCAGAATTCTTGCATCCAAACATAAATAGTTGTGTAACCATCATCATTAAAGAAACATATAATGAAATTATCACTTGTTTGTGTTGTTATTTGTATTTTTGTAATATTTTTGTAGTATCCAGTAATTTAAAAAAAAAAAAAAAAAAAAAAAAAGGGATAAGGGTCAAATAGATCTTTTAACTATATGCCAAAGTGCAATTAAACTCTTAAAGTAAGAAAAATTTCAATTAGACACCTTAACTCCTTAGTTTGATACAATTTAACCATTAATTTTTTAAATTTGTGCAATTAGATCAATTTGTAGGTAAGCTTAAGGTAATAACAAGTAAATTTTAAAAAAAAATAATAAATAAAAGAAAATCAAAGATTGCCGGAGAAGCCGCCAAGCCGGCAAATTTTTCCGTCCATCCGATCATGTTGCACAAGAGAGAAGTTTGACCTCAACTTATTTAAGTACCACACACCATCATATTAAGCATCAGGTAGCATTATTTTAGGTATTCTTTTTTCTGTTAGACTTCAACCTTTAAACGAGATGACAAATGATAAGCGTCAAGCTTTGAACGAGATGACAAATGATAAGCGTTTGGAGGAGTAAAATTGATAGAGTAAAATTTAGAAGTACATATAATCTGTGCATAACTACTTTCGCAACCTACTGAAGCACAGAGAGTCAATAACACATCGACTGAGGCTCGAACCCACAACCTCCCATGTAGGGGTAATCACGGTTCGATTCGAACTGGAGGTTCAAACCTTAACCGTGCACTGTAGAACCGAAATCGGAACCGAACCGTCCGTACAATTCCGATTCCGGTTCCTAACAGGAACCAATAAGGTTCCGGTTAAGGTTTGTGTAATAAAGGAACAGGAACCGAATGGTTCCTGTTCCAAACCGTAAAAAAAATAAAATTAATTAAGTTGAAATTTGAAAAGCCAAAGCCGCAAGTAGGGATGGCAATTCAACCCGCCTCCGACAGGGAAAACCGGTCCCCGCCCCGACGGGGGCTGGTTCGGAGATTTTTTTCGGGAAACGGGGGCGGGGATGGGGAGAATTCTCCCATCCCCGCCGGGGTCGGGGACGGGGACGGGGAGGGCATCCCCCGCCCCGTCCCCGGCCCCAATCCCCGATCCCCGATCCCCGTCCCCGTCCCCGATTCCCCGTATAATATTAAATAAATAAATAAATATTATATATATATATATATATATATATATATATATATATATATATATATATATATATATATATATATATATATATATATATATATATATATTATTAATAAACTTAAAAGCAAAACATTCATGAACATTCACAGGAGTGCTGCCTGCCTGTGCCGACTGCCTCTATAATAAAAATAAAATATTATAATATATATAATACTAGTATTTGTCCCTTGCGATGCATGAAAACTATGTTATAAAAATATACCCTATATGAGGTTTATTCATATATAAAATTTTTGTTATTTAAAAATTATTATGTGTGAATTCCTATAATAAAATTATGAACATAAATATATTTACAATTAAAATAATATTTAAGGTGGGTGATTACTACAAATCTTAAACTATATTAAAAATTTAGTACATAGTATTTAATATTACAAATTTTTAAGAACTTAGTAAACTACAATAGTAATTGAATTACAATTTTAGAGTCACCACGGATCAAAATTTTTAGACCTTTGAGATTTCTAACTCTAGATGTAGCAACATACAATTGACCTTTAAAGACCAAAATCACAATCTTAGTTCGAACATTGATTTTTTCTTCCAAATACTATCGAATTAAGTGTGTAATCAATAAAAGATGAGAACTAATAATTCGAGAATATAATCTTAATGTTACTAAGCCTACTTCACGTCAATTAAGTTGGATAGTGTTGTTGGATAGTATCTGATGAATCCACGAATAACGCATCTTTGTCTCCGTAGTCCTCAATATACACATCAACAATCTTAAATATTAGGCCGCCTAGCTATGCCATATATTAATTTCAAACTTATGAATTTTGGGGTTGCATGCAATAAAAAGTATATTTTAAATATACTAAGGGTACATTATATATGTATGTAAAGTACTTTCAATATAAAAATAATGTATTTTTAATATATTAAAAATGTATTTGATATTCATGATCCATACAATTATGTGGACCATCGTTCACACAATATATATATATATATATATATATATATATATATATATATATATATATATATATATATATATATATATATATATATATATATATTAGAAAATGTCAATGGAAATTATTATCATTATTATTATTGCAATTATTATTATTATTGTTATTGTTATTATAATTAACAATATTATTCTGGTCTTGTGAAAATTAAATGTTAATTATTATTATTTAATTTTCACAAGACCATATGACTTTATTATATATAGGATTAATAAACTTATAGTCCAGTAAAACAAACTATTATAATATATATAATATTAATGAACTTACTTATTCCATTAGTTTTTATTAACTTATTAGCTATTTCATTTAGTTCAGTACTCAACAGTAGTTTTGGTTTGTTTTAGTTCAGTACTTTTGATTAAGTTATTAGTTAATTAGTTTAATTTTAATTTGTTTTGATTAACTTATTAATTACTTATTATTGTTGTTGCATTTCCGATAAATTATTTCTTGTTTTGTTTTTTTTTTTTTCATTGCATCATTCAAAAAATGGGGCGGGAATTCTCCGTCCTCGAAAAATCCCCGCGGGGGAGGGGATGGGGAATAATTCCCCATCCCTGCCGGGGAACGGGGCGGGGACGAGGAATGGGGATCCATTTCGGGGATGGGGACGGGGACCCCATTCCCCACCCCTGCCCCGCCCCGTTGCCATCCCTAGCCGCAAGGCTTTGGCTTTTCAAAAGTCTAGACCAGCAGGGCACTGGTGTAGGCTTGTGGCCTGCTGGCCGCCAATAGGATGGTCATTGACCAAAACTTAAAAACAATAGTATTTTTTTTAAAATTCCGGTTAGAACCGGCGATTCCAACCGGAACCGTCAGTTCGTGAACCGAAACCTTAATATAATGTTCTGGTTTCACCATTTACGGAACTGAAACCGGAATCGCAGTCACCCCTATTCCCATGTAACTATGTAAGAGTTCAACTTGGTACCATTGGACCGCAAGATCCTTGATAAAAATAATATATTTTTAATATATTAAAAATATATGTTTTTTATGGTCCACACAACACTGTGGAGCATGATTCACATAAAATTTTCCTTCTTATTGACTTTCTCAATACAACTCATTTAGTGATCCAAGCCCAAACAAAAAAATCTCAATCATTATTGTGTGAACCATAGTCCACACAAGTTGTGTGGACCATATTTTGTATACTAAAAAATAATGTACACTCAGTACAAAAATAATGTATTTTTAGTATATTAAAAATGTTCATTGTATTCAGAGAATGCACATTATTTGTGTACTGAGTGTACATTATATTATATAATGTACATTCAATATATAAATAATGTACACTTAGTATATTAAAAATGTACTTTTTGTTATGGTCCACATACCACTGTGTGGACCAATTTGTCAAAAAATGGTTGCATTTTGGACCTCAATCTAAAATAACTTTCAAATTATGTGTCTGCACTCTGTAGTTACATTTTGTACCTACAATTAACGTTTTTGTGCTTGTAAATTGAAGGCAAATAACATGTTAACTACCGACACAAAATGATAACCACACACACATAAAATGTTAACTGTAGATATATAATATATTAATTACAAACACATAATTTTTTAATCAGAGTCCATAATGCAAGATGGACCTTAATCCATGGTATACCAATTGAGGAAATCTTATCACCATCACTCTGCTACAATTTCAACACAAAATTGAAACCAAGATTCAAAGATTCTCCTCAACCTGGTATCCCCAAACATGTCAAAGGGATCTACACTGCAATGCCTGACTGAAATTTCTCCACAGTAATGAGGAAACCATGCATGAGTATATCACTGCATTTGCTGGGAACTGACACTATGAGCACACAGCCTCTCAAATCATATGTATCAATTGGAAACACAATGAAATTGGACAAAACTAAGTTTAAAATTACAAATTTATGGTTTTGGTTATACAACATTACACTATCAGAGGATCCTGATGGCGTAGGTTTGAAACCATGCAGCCTGATGTGGAAAGATGAATTATGCACATTTGTACCACTAAAACACCCTCGCTCCATCCAGCCGTTAAAGAATAGATAATCTACGAATGAACAACTTATTTTCACAATGGAGCAATACCCTTCTTCAAAAGCATATCATAGACTCTATCCACTTTGGTTGTTTTGATTTGGAAGAAGGTATAAGCATCAGACATTTTGGTGATGTCTCCGCTGTATGTGTACTGTCATCAATTCTAGCATCTTAAGATAATGTGGCGGCGGCATCCTAATGTCACCACATACTTGTTTCTCCTGTAATTCTCGTAATGTGACAAGTTAAACTCATGCTATTCACCATCAAATGTCTAACACTAAAAACAATCCAAACTTCTACCCCAAACTAAAAGAATCTTTACGTACAAGGATATAAAAATCTTTTTCGTGTTTGGGATAATGGTCAAATAGACACTCCAACTATATACCAAAGTGCAATTAGCTCCTCGAACTTTTAAAAAAAAAACCTTCAATTAAACCCTTAAACTTATTAAAATTGTTAAAATCATGAATGGACAGGGGGCATCTGATCAGTTCAAACCACAACTGTAAGGTTGAATCCAACCAGTTAGCTAGTTGAACACATAGCAGTATAAAACCCATTTCTTTATCTCAACTCTCCCATTGGCCATGTGGGACTCATGTCAACAGTAACAAGTGCAGAGAGAAAAGCAATAAAGAAAGACTGATGTATTTTCAGAAAAGCAAATCATACATGTAAATATGTTTTTCAGGAATGAGAGCAACCAACCTTGAGTTCTTTTATTCTTTTCAGAATTCTATGCTCTGAGATTATAGCCTTAAGTAGTTCTTTCATGCTCTTCCCTGGAATGAAAACGCATGAAGGCATCATAGCGTCGCCATATATCCTTCTCTTCTTGAGATAACGTCTTCTCAAATTCAGTTGGATAGAGCAAATTCCTTTCTGTTATGAAATCTTTTCTACGTTTTCTCTCATCGAGCCTGCCAAAGTTTTCATTTTGCATTCAGTCTAGCACTGGAATGAAAACGCATGAATGAACAGTCTGGATTCACCTGAAATGTAGTCTAAATTTTCTCCATTCCAGGCATTCCTTTTTCCTCCTTGATCTGTGCAACCACACTTAGCAATGGGTGAATCCTATCCTACCTCAACTTTGCACTCATAGTCTCACACTGTTTGCTCAGCCAAGTCTTTTGCACCTCATCCTACTAAGTATATACATTTTAAATTAAGCATCAGACGAGAAGATAAAGGCAGCATATATATTTCATTTGCAATACCATATATCTAAAACATTCACCAATCTGTAAACTGTAAAGGCAGCATAGCTTAAGATATTTCATTTGACGCCCAAACTATTAACATTCAACCAGTGGACAATAGCAAATACAAAGATAGCCTAAGCTGATAGCAAGCATATAAAACAGAGAAAGATTCAAACTGAACAATCAAGAAGAATGAAAAACATAAATGAATAGAAGGATGCAATGCTAACCGACCAATGTCATCAATAGCAACAGCATCAGCTAAGTTTTCACATTTAGCATCTAAATGATTTCCGACCTCACGCGAAATCAATATCTGGTATTCGATCTGCCATGTCCTAATTAAAATATCAGAACAATACAAGTGTTAACATGTTCCATTAGAATTACTTAGTTCAAGACTTGAAGTAATTAGAAATTAGAATGGCAATATACAACTTAGACACTTGATAACTCAACAAAAACTTGCAAACCAATTTCTCAATCAAATCAAAAAAGTCAAAGCTCGTCAAACCATGGATAGCAGCACCTGCCCAAGTTGAGCTGAGGTTCCCATTAGTGAAATTTGTTGAATTTGGAGCCAGAGCTCATTGCGACACTGGGACTTGTGCTGTCAAGGGAACTTCTTAAGAGTACACTCAAATTCTCAATTTTTTCATCTTCACCATCTTTGGAAATAAGAGGTAGCCTCAACCTTTGAGCAACTTCTGCAGCTACAATCCGAATTGAAGCTCAAGAGCTTCATAAACCTTAAATGTTTTCAATTACCACCAAATATGACAAAAACAAATTTTTGACCGATTTTATTTCATGCATATTTCTGTCCCTCGAAATAAGAAAAATGCTACAAAATATAGTTTTAAGGGTGATGCTTTCAGCAAAATTCATCTTCTAAATATCTTTCTAAATTGAAGTGGTAAATGGTTCACAAAAAGGATGAGATTTTACAAGATTGTTAACATTATGCCAATTTTTATATTGACTCCTATTGTTTTAGTATACACTGCAAAAGTAAGGAAGCTGATGGCAATTTTGCAAACTGAGCTGAGGGTAATGACCCTCAACATCTCGAATGCCACTAATCAAGATTTGCTGCAGAAATGAGCCCAAACCCGACTTTTTTACTAAATAAGTCAGACTTAACTAGGCCTAATTAATTAGGCTAGGTCATAGGCCCTACAAAGGGGCTTGGCCTATTCCCTTCCTTCCTTACATTGAAACGAGGGCAATGTTTTGAGTGGCTGCTTGAATTTCAAAACGAACACCCTTCGGAAGACAGACCGTGATTCGGCCAGATTAGTTTCATCTTATGGGATGTGAAAACCAGTGTATTATAAAAAAGAATATATGTAGATAATAGTGGTTGATGGTCAACAGTAGGGATCAATGCAAATTGAACAATGTGGTGGAGTATAAATACACAATCTTTTGGGTAGAAATATAATTAGGTGGTGGGATGAGCAGACAAAATTACTGATAAAAAAGAAGGTTATAGTCCTCAACTCCTTGCATTATCAGTAATGATAAAATCACTGGCTGAGTGTGAACACTGAACTGTGCTGGTAACCTTCAGTGATTCCAAGCTTCCTATAAGCATGTAATTAGTTGTGTAAACTTCTCTAACTTTGCACTCATAGTCTCACACCTTTTGCTCAACCAAGTCTTTTGCAGCTCATCATACTAAGTATAAACATTTTAAAAACAAAAAATTAAGCATCAGACGAGAAGAGGTAAATGACCAGAAACCGCTCAGAAGCTGGAATTTCCTTGATAAAGGTTCAAGACAAAAAAATGTTTCAATCAGACAGCTCAGAAGCTGGAATTTCCTGAACATCTCCAATGACACCAATCAAGATTTGCTGCAGAAAGATCAAATTGCACACAAATTAGCATGACAACAAATCTTTATGCATAATCTCAAATCACAGCCCTAATTTCCCCTAAACTCAATAAATCATCAAAACTACTAAGCTTTCCAAATAACCAATCTATACAAACCGCCGCTGCAACTTCAATTCATTTCTAAAACTTCTGCCCGCACAATTTAAACTAAATAAAAAAAGAAAAGTAGGAAAATAATGTAAGGGTGAAATGAAATTGATAATGGAAATGAATAAAAGCTAACCCATCTCTGCCATTCCGGTCAGTGAAGCAAAGCTTTCAGGCTATGTCTCTGCTTCACATATAAGCCCTCCTTCAACAAAAATGATGCAATTTCCATATCAAAAAAAACAAGGCTTCATCTACATTCCTAAGTTTTTTGTGAACAACGATACAGCGTAAGTCTCATATCTGTCAAACACCAGGCATAAACATAAGTACATCAGAGTTCTCTGCTCCATTTTTTACCCATGAAAGGCTCGCACAATCCCACATCGGAACCAAATGAGGAATATTTCCTCTTAATAAGTCCATAGGTAGAAGCAATGTTCGCTGGGCTTGGTAGCGCGAGCCTGTAACCTAAGTGGGAGCATTAGAATGGTGGAATAATTTGGCTTACCTTTGAAGGCTGGGCTCGGGGGTGCTATCTACTGGCTTGCCCGTTCCAAGTGGTGAGTCCGGTTGTGGAGTCTCTGCGAAGGCGGAGGCTTCTCGTCTCTTAGACAGGAGGGCACCGCGTCAGGCTGGTTTCACAGAGCAGCGAACACCTCCTCCTCTCTGCAGTGGAAGGATAACAGGCCAGAGCATCTTCAGTCCACTAGCGCCTGATGGGTTCTCCAAATTTAAACCACCATCTTTTTCCTTTTGAGCTTTAGTGAAGAAGTCATTTTCAGCCCAGAAAGAGGAACCTTACCGAAGTCATTTTTCACAGCGTTCTATACTTCTATTACCATTATATCAGAGGCTTCTCAGTTTTTTTAATCATTTCGTTCTCTATTTCTATTTATTTTTTAATTTTCCAATTTAGAAGCACATTTTCTAACTTTTTAGACTACATACAACAATATAAAATTATTCAACAATTTAACAGGGCGTTTGGTTGGAGGGGGGAATTATGTGGGAAAAGAATTATAATTCTATGGGAGTTGAATTACTGAAAATAAAGTGGGAATTTAAATTCCAGTGTTTGGTTGACAGGAATAAAATTACTGGGAATTTCAATTCCAATGTTTGGTATACATGGGAATTGAAAGGAAATAAGTAGTGTAAAGTCAAAAATGTCCATTATTGTTGTTAGACATTAATTTTAAGTTAAAAAAGGAAGGGGTAATGTTGACTCATCAATATCTTTTTTTCCCAGGAATAAAAATACCAGGGGGGCATGGGATTTTAATTCTATGAAAATGGGGGAATTGCAATTCCCTCCAACCAAACTACGGAATTTAATGGCCTTTGGAATTAGGTGGGAATTAAGTGGGAAAGGAATTTAAAATCCCTCCAACCAAACGCCCTGTAAATGTTTTTAAAAAATTAAATATTCAGAATATTAGGTGCGTGAATTTTGTGTTTAATGTGTTTTGTTATATGCTTAATGTGCGTGGGTTATGTACTTAAGGTGAGTGATTTGTGTTCTTAAGGTGCGTGGTGATTTGTGTACTTAAGGTGCGCCATTTTAATGCTTAAGGTGGGTTCAATCGCACAGGAAACCAATCCCGCACCTGAAACCTTCCCTATATATATATATATATATATATATATATATATAGCAAAACACGTTTTACAAATTACAAGCACATTTTTCGTTCATTCATTTTCCGAATCTAACTTTTTAGACTACATACAACATTATAAACTTATTCAAAAATTTAAATGAATTTTTAAAATAAATATTCAGAATATTTATGAACATGTTTTGTATCGAGGGAGTATACTTCTTTATTTATTTTAATCTTTCAATTATAATTATATTTTCACTTAAGCTCTGTCTGACACTCTTAGCTAAAAAGTAAATAGTGTTTTTTTTTTTTTTTTGAAAACTAAAAAGTAGGGCTGTGCATAAACCGACCCACCCGAAAAACCCGACCGACCCGAACCCGAATATATGCACTTGGGTGGAATCCGAGCCCGAATTAGCATACCCGAACCGTTCACACGCCACGTAGCCGGTTAGAACGAGGCGGGTTGGGGGGTTATAAAATCCCCCCGAACCCGTCCGACAACCCGAATTAGGGTAAGACTGCGTATACCCTAAGGTATACGACGTCGTGTAAGCGGTGTATATATGTTGCCTTTGGAGGAAACCCTACTCATTTCCGCACCTTCCTCGTCTTTCTTCTGACTTCTGAGAACTCTCTAGAGTCGTTCTCTGAACTTCTCTCGTGAGTCTCGTCTTCCTTCTCTGAAATCTGAAACCCTAGTTAGTTCTTACGTCTCATTTCTCCATATCTCTGACTCTGTGAGACTCTGAGTCTCTGAGTTCTCTCGTTCTCTCTGAGTTTGAGTCTCCGGTGGAAGCTAGTTAATATTGTTCGGTAGAAGCCCTATTCTAGAGTCTGGACGACCGGTGGCCGGTGCGGTGGATTGTAGATTGCTGTCACGGTCTCACGGATTTGAAGCCCTTTGTTCTCGGGGGTTTGATTTGGAGAAACGAAGTAATCTCTAAACCCTAATCTTAGACATACTTAGATTATACTCTTATATATTGTGATACGTTGTTGTTATTTGTGATTCTATGATTCTAATGACTGTGACAAAGTGAATCTGTTGAGAAGTTCCGGATTGCATGTCACTTGTCCCTTATTTGTGAATTTTTGATCCTTTGATTAGGGCTTCTATGATTCTGATGACTGTGACAATGTGAATCTGTTGAGAAGTTCCGGATTGCATGTCAATTGTCCCTTATTTGTGAATTTTTGATCCTTTGAATAGGGTTTCTATGATTATATGGACTGTGACATTTTAGAATCACTTAGTTGTGATTGTTTGTGGAAGCCCCTAAGTCCCTTACACTTGTTGATTATACTTTGTCTGTATTGTTTGTGGAAGCCCCTAAGTCCCTAACCCCTGTTGGCTATTGGATGTTGCCTGTGTTGGTGAAAATGGTGGAAGCCCCAATTGTAACTACGAATTGTGAAATCCAGTAAAATGATGAATGTAAACTTCAGGCTTTCACCATCCTGATTTCTGGATTTCTTTGTCACTTTGTGTGATTAATGTGATACTATGATTGTATCCATGTATGCCTGTATGTTACTATGTTTATAACTTATAAGTTATAAGTTTATGGATGTATGACCCTTAATAGTTAATTCCTTAAAGTCCCAATTATGAAATTTAGAAAAATGATGAAGTTAGGAACTGCCTGTCTTCTTATTCTGGATTTCTCTAATTCTGACATTCTTTGAAATGGTTCCCACTGTACTGATAGTATTCCATTTCTTTAGATGGAAAATATCATAGAGTCTGGTAGTCAACCTTCCAACTCTTCACTTCATGGATCTACAGTGGTGGAAGCTCAGATTGTTGAGATAAATAATGATCAACAGAATGTGCAACCTACTGCTGCGGTTCTTCCGAAGGAAAGGAAGGTAGTTGAATCCAGATCTCCTGTGTGGGATCATTTTGAAAAGATTGTTGATGAGAATAATGTTACTATTGAGGGCAAGTGTATATATTGTGCCAAAATATATAAATGTGAGACCAAAAAACATGGTACTTCATCATTGAGAACCCACATGTTTAACTGTCTTAAAAACCCTCACTCAAAAGACACAAGGCAATCACTTCTGACCTTTCAAGCTGTTACCAATTCTGATGCATCTCCTGCTACTGTTGGTGAGTTAGGAACTTGGGTCTTTAATCAAGAAGCTATTAGGAAGGCCTTAGTTGAAATGATTATAATAGATGAACTCCCTTTTAGATTTGTTGAAGGTCCTGGATTTAGGAAGTTCATTCTGGTATGTTGTCCTAGGTTTAAGATTCCATCAAGATGGACAATTAGTAGGGACATCAATTTGATTTATGAAGAGGAAAGGCTCAAGTTGAAGTGCATGTTTAGGGGAAACACTCAAAGAGTCAGTATTACTACTGACACTTGGACTTCTATTCAGAGAATTAACTACATGGTAGTTACTGCTCACTTTATAGATGAAGAGTGGAGGCTAAATAAAAAAATTATTTCATTTGTCCCTGTCACATCACACAAAGGTGAGTCTGTTGCAAAATCCCTTGAAAACTGTTTGCTTGATTGGGGTATTAGAAATGTCTACACTATTACAGTGGACAATGCATCATCAAATGACACTGCCCTAGGTTTTTTAAAAAAGAAATTGATGTCTTGGGGAACATCTACTGTGAAGGGCAAGTACATTCACATGAGATGCATTGCCCATATTTTGAATTTAGTTGTGCAAGATGGGCTAAAACAGTGTGATGATTCTGTGAAGAAGGTTAGGGATGCTGTAAGGTATGTGAGAAGTTCACCTGCTAGACTTAAGAAATTTAAGGACTTGTCTGAATGGCTTGGGATTGAAAAGAAATCTTCTCTGTGTCTAGATGTTCCAACCAGATGGAACTCTACATATCTTATGTTACAATCTGCAATATTTTATGAGAAAGTGTTTTATTCACTTGAAGAAAGTGATTCTTCCTTCAAATCAGATTTGGGTGATTCTATTCCTAACTTTCTTGATTGGGAATCTGTGAAGAGTTTGGTGAATCTGTTGAAGTGTTTTTATGATATGACAATAAGAATTTCAGGTTCTTTATATGTCACATCTAACACTTTTTTTCTGAAATTTCTGATTTATATTGCCTATTGAATGGAATGGTGGAAGCTGGTGGTTCTGTGAAATTGATGGGGGAAACTATGAAGGTTAAATTTGAAAAGTATTGGGGGGATATAGATAAGATGAACTTGATGATATTCTTTGCAAACATTCTTGACCCCAGGGACAAATTAGAGTACATGCCAGCACAGATCTTACACATGTATGGTGAGTTAAAAGGTAAAACCTACTATGAGAAAGTGGTTGCAGCTTTTACATAGTTGTTTGATGATTATGCTGCCTTTGTTGTCCCTATTGCTCCTGTGATTCCTTCTACTGTTGTCCCTACTGTTTCTGTCATCTCTTCTACTGATTCTTCACAGTCTAATGTTGGGAAGCCCCAGGGTTTGTTAAAGTCCCAGATTAAGAAACAAAGAATGGAGAGTGGGGGAAAGAAAAAAACTGAGTTGGAAATTTACCTTGCTGAGGCATTAGTTGAAGAAGAATCTTCTTTTGACATACTTAGATGGTGGAAGCTGAATGCTGAAAGATTTCCTATCCTTTCAAAAGTAGCTAGGGATGTATTAGCTATACCAATATCCACTGTTGCCTCAGAATCTGCCTTCAGTACATCAGGGAGGGTTTTAGATCCTTTTAGGAGTTCTTTAACTCCTAAAATTGTGGAAGCTCTGGTTTGTACTCAGGATTGGCTTAGACTGCCTAATACCCCCATATCAATTGAGGAAAATCTGGAGGAATTGGAGAGATTTGAACAAGGTAACATACTAACACTTAACTTTCCTGCATTTTCTATTTACTTTTATTTTAAACTTGTCCTTGTATTTGCAGAATTGGGTGCTGATGGTGGGAGTGGAGCTGGGAGGATTGGTGGTTCTACACTTCCTACGATTCCTGTAATGTTATGCTTTATACTTTATACTACTTTATATTCTTGCATTAATGTAATCTGTATACTGTATTACTCGTGACTCATGAGGCTTGGTAACTAATTAGTAATTAGTTGCTGCCTAGTTGTCCAGTTGTCCTAATGAGGCTTGGTAACTTACTAACTTGTTGGTTGCTGCCCTTGGACCTTGGTGCACTGGACAGTGCCACAGTGGTATAACTGTTAGTTGGTAAGTTTGTTGTTGGACTCAAGGGTGCTGTACTGCTGGTAATGTATCATTGTATTATGTATTTAAGACTTTAAATAATTTAACTATTTGTTATGGCAATGATGAAAGCTTCCACCAATGATCTGAAATAAGGGATTAAGCTGGTATGTTGCTCTATCCTCATGGGGATGTTGTAGCAATTTGCCTTTAATCCTAACTTTGATATGGACAAAAAGCTTACTGAGCCAATGTTTAATATCTTATTTTCTACCTTTTATAGTTTTATAACTTATTTTGTTTTTGCTAATTCATCTTAAGTTTTGAGTATTGACAGGAAGAAGAAGAACAGTAGGCTAGAGCTAAAGTAGGAACTACTGAGCAATCTGAGCTAGGAACTTGGATATTTTTTGAATTACTGTAATTTTGGTAATTTGGTGCAATGGTGGTTGCTGCAGTGTTTTTTAGAAATTGGCTACTTTTACAGTTTTACATTTTGTATAAGCAAATTCATAATTGCCCTTGCCCATTTGACTTTTTGGAGTCTAACTGTCTAAGTACTAGTTGTCTAGTTTAGTAGCTTTACATGTAGTTTGTGCACAGTGCACTACATGTTTTTGTAAATTTTTTCAGTTTTACTTAATTTTTACATGTTTTAGTCAATTATTTAATTTTGTTTTTATATTTTAAATATCCGAGATGCATTCGGATATCCGACCGACCCGTCCTCAACCGAAATCCTATAAAACCGAAAAGATTTTACAAATTGATACAATGAGATTGGGTTTAAAAATAATAATTCGAAATCCGTGCGGTTTGGCCCTCGGAGTATCCGAACCGAACCGAACCGTTCGACGCACAAGCCTACTAAAAAGTTAGCAGTTAATAGGCTAAATAACTAAAATTAAGGTGTTTTATAAAATTAGTTGCTGACTGTGGTCTCCAAGATATGTCTTGGGTATCAATATACTTGGCACCGCTCTCATAGTACACCTAGTAGAGGAGAAACTTGACAGAATCCTTGCTACAGATTCTTGGTTAACAATGTTTGAAGGAGCTAAGGCAAATTCACTTACCTACCCGTACAACGACCATCTTCCTATTCTTCTAATGCCGACTGTGATTGAGCATTCTTCTCGCTGTAAACGCTTCTATTTTGACAATATGTGGGTGCGAGAGGATGTGTGTAAAGAGATTGTTGAGCTAAGTTGGCATAAATCAACAGGAATTGATATTCTTCAAAGGATTGAGATGTGCAGTCATGACATATGGAGGTGGGCTCGAAATTATAATAGAGAGTTTCAAAGACGTATCGATCGGTGCAAGGGTCATTTGGAAGCATTACGCCCTTGCATTGACCCTACTAGTATTTCATAATATAGTAGAGTGGAAAAGGAGTTGTTAACTATACTGGATCAACAACATACATACTGGAAGTAGAGGGCTAAAGAGCACTGGTGGGAATATGGTGATTTAAATACAAAATTTTTCCATAACTCTGCTCAGTCTAGGAGGAGGAGGGATAATATCACAAAGCTGAAAAAGGATGACGGTACATGGGCTGTAGGGGTTAATGAAGTCGAAGGAGTTATGGTGGAATATTTTGATAAATTGTTCACGCCAGAGAATGGAGAAATGGATGACGCCCTAGCTTGCATAAATTCACACGTGACGCCAAAAGATAATAGGCGACTGGTACGGCCAGTTAGCAAGGAGGAGGTTCGGGTTGCATTATTCCATATTCACCCGGATAAATTGTCGGGGCCGAATGGTTTTGGTCTTGGGTTTTTTCAACATTTCTAGGCAGTGTTTGGAGGAAATGTGACAATGTTTTGCAGAAGTTTTGTAGAATCTGCAATCTTGGCAACCAAAGCGAATGACACCTTTGTGGTGTTAATTCCGAAGAAAGCAAATCACGAGTCTATGAAGGACCTTCACCCCATCGCTCTTTATAATATCTTATACAAGATCGCCACGAAGGTTTGTGCAAACAGGATGAAACCCCTTCTAGATAAGCTTATATCTAAGGCACAAAGTGCGTTTGTGCTGGGTCGACTCATCACCGATAACATACCGCTGGCTTACGAGGCTCATCATTATTTCAAGCGCAAGACCCAAGGTAAGGATGGGGTCCTGGATCTCAAGATTGATATGAGCAAAGCCTACGACCGAGTTGAGTGGCGGTTCCTCCGAGCTATTCTGGTAAGAATGGGCTTTGAGCAAAAATGGGTGAATATTCTGTTTGAAACGGTTAGTTCTATTAAGTACTACATTCTTTATGAGCACGACAATTGGGACCAATTATTTCGGGGAGAAGGCTCTGACAGGGTGATCCGTTATCACCTTATCTTTTCTTGTTGGTAGCCGAAGGTTTGAGTGCATTAATTGATAATCGTATGCGCGGGGGTTTGTTGCACGGTGTGAGTGTTGCGCGAGGGGCCATGCCAATTACACATCTCCTATTCGTAGATGAATATTTCTTGTTTCTTCGTGCAAATAGTGTGGAAAGTCACCATTTGAAAGGGGTTTTGGATATTTACTCAGCTGCCTCTGGACAAAAAAATAAATTTTGACAAGTCATTGGTCTGTTTTAGTACAAATGTGCCGCAGAAGAATAGAAGTGAAGTTGTGAATATCCTTGGAGTTAGTCAAGGTGATACAATTAGGAAATATCTTGGGCTTCCCTCCTTGGTGAGTAGGAACAAGAAGGCGATATTGAGCTTTTTAAAAGATAAGGTTCTGAATCGTGTGCGTAGCTGGAATTCAAAATTCCTATCCCGTGCGGGGCGTGAAGTGCTTCTGAAAAACATTCTCCAAGCTTTACCATGTTATGCTATGATGGTTATTTTGTTACCTATCGGGCTATGCAAAGAAATCGAAACAATCCTTAATAAGTATTGGTGGACTGGAACAATTGGAGACGGGAAAGGACTGCGTTGGAAGTCATGGAATGGGTTGTGTATGCCAAAGGACAAAGGGGGTTTGGGCTTCAGAAAATTACGAGAGATGAACCTTGCTCTTCTGGGTAAGCAAGCGTGGCGCCTTATTACAAGACCAGGGTCGCTCATAGCTCGTATTTATAAAAGTCGTTATTATCCTCACTACTCTTTCTTTGATGCAGCTGCCGGTAGTAATCCCTCATTTATATGGCGTGGAATTTGGAAAGCAAGGGATGCTATCAAGCCAGGCTGTAGACAAAGTATAGGTGATGGCTGGAGTACAAAAATAGGCCTTGATCCGCGGCTACTCACTGCTGCTGACCCCTACGTACGTACCACACTACATGATACGATTATGGAGGCTCCTGTTTCTTCATTATTTAATGATCAAGGCCTTGGTTGGGATGTGGAATGCGTGAATGACATATTTGAGGTGTGTGATGCGAAAATTATTCTAAACATCCCAGTAAGTTTGCGAAAACCCCCTTATGCATGGGTATGGGGAGTCTAAGGGGGAGTACTCAGTTAAGTCTTGCTATCGAATGTTGTTGGTGAGATAGATTCATGAAAATAAGCCATGGCCCCTGATTTGGAACTTGCAGGTACCACCTAAAGTGAAGGTGTTCTGTTGGCAATTATCCTCGTTAATGCTGCCCAAGTGTGATGCATTAATTGTGAAGCAAATCCAAAGTACTCTGGCTTGTCACATGTGCGACCAAGTCGAGGAGTCCTCTTACCATTTGTTCAAGGATTGCACGCACGCTGCTCATGTTTGGTCTGTTGTGGGCATGCCGAATACATTGCATGAACAAGGTAATATTGGTTTTTTGAATTATTAGCAAAGCTATCTGATGACATGAAATGTAAGTTTGTAATGCTTTGTTGGGGTCTTTGGGGCAGTAGAAATGACAAGGTTTGGAAAACCTCTCCCTTTGATAGCAATACAGTAATACACACCGCACTCTCACATCTTGCAATTTGGAAGGCAGTTAATGAGGTGATGAAGGAAAGTACTGGAATGTAGACCGTTTCGACTACTTGGAAGTTGCCAGCCCCAGGTTGTCTGAAGTTGAATATGGACACTGCATGCATTTGACGAAGGGAATAATTATACGGGTTTAGGCTGTGTCCTTTGCGATGACGGGGGCCGATTTTTGGCAGCTAAAGGAGTGCAAATTTTGGGTCAGTATAACTGTAACACCCCTAATTTTTAAAATATTTAAAGCTTAT